TGATTTCTCTCATCTTATCAGACTTATTATATCTCACAACATAGTTAATCAATGACTTCACTTTAGTTTATATTGTAAGATTATTTATATGTAATTTTATATTAAGTTTATGATTCCTTTAGTATTTTAAGAATAAAGTATAAAAATTTATATGTACATACTAATTTTTCTTATATCTTTCACGGAGAATGCTTTTTTAATTGGGACAAAATTATTCAATATGTTCTTCAAGGAGAACTCATCGATGCTCTTTGCTAGATATATCTTTTGTCAATGTCAGTTCAAGTGATGCATGAATGTATTTGAATTTTGGGTTTATTTACTTCACTTCTCTATTTGAAATAAAAACAACTTGATTTTTTAAGGATATATTTAAACTTTCTGATAGTTTCTCTATACAAAATTCATTGTATTTTTTCACTCTATAAATATTATTAACATCAAAGATGAATGTTTATACATTATAATTAATTAATGCTTACTTATTATATTATAGTCTTTTGTTAGTTTTATGTAATTTCGTCTTCTATCAATTAATGTTATTACTAAAATTATACGTAGTTCCTTAAATTTATATAGTAACGTTAATTTTTAATCTGTCATATGTTTTTTTAATTTTTTATTCTTTAATTGGATAGTTTTAATTTATCATAATTGTTATTTTTACCAGTATCAACTTAGTTTACTTTTAGATGCTGAAAAGGGATGATAATCTTCAAATTGAAACTTAAATTTATATATCTTAATGAAAGAATATAAAATATTTATTATTTTCTTTGCCAAATTTCAGCCTTTTGTGATTTTGAACTTTTGAGGGTGTGTTTTTAAATTTTTAAACTTTAACCGTATTTAAAAAAAAAAAAATTATGTTGGGTGATCGTAATTTTTATGTTTTATGAGTTGCTAGTAAGTTTTCAAATGTTAAGATGTTTCTTTCAACTTTGAAATTTTGAGCGTGTTTTTTACAATTACTAAAACTTTGAGTTGCTTTTTTTGACAAATTTAAATTTTTAGCGATCCGGTGATAATTTTCAGATTTGATGTCTACCAGTTATAAGTTTTGAAATTTTAGGATTTTTGTGATTTTTAACTTTTGAGGGAGTTTTTGTAATTTATGTAACTTTAAGGTTATTTTTTATAAATTTTAAATTTTCAAGTGCCTAATGTTAATACATGGAATTTGTTTATGTTGTTTGTAAGTTTTGAAATCTCTGAATTTAGGGTGTTTTTTTCTAATTTGAACTCTTGAGGTTGTTTTTGCAATTTTAGAAATATTGAGAGTGTTAATTGCAAATTTAAATTCCGTGGGGCCTATTTTTTATTCTTAGATTTCATGCTTGTTGTTTTAAGTTTAGAAAAATTAGGGTGTTTTGGGTAATTTTAAACTTTTAAAGATATTTTGTGTAAATTTTGAATTAAATCTTAATCTTATTTTTTTTTAAATTGCTGAGCTATAGGTATATCATGTGGGGTTAATATAGGATATAATTAGTATTTCGATAGATTAAGATGTAAATAAAAATTTAAAATAATATTTCACATAGTTTGTTAATTTTTTTAATTATTAAGCTATAGATAGTTCCCGTGAGATTAGATAAGATATAATTAGAATTAGAATAGATTAAGATTTAAATAAAATATTCAAAATAGTGAAGGATAATATTAACCATAGAAAGATTCTCTTGAACTTGTGATTTTAAGGAAAGTGTGAAGTATATGATATAAAATATGATTATATGATATGATATGATTTATAATATACTTGTATCGAGATGCTTCTCATATTAACATCTAAATAATTTGATATTAATTGTAATCTTATTTGATCGAATAACAATCTTTATCACATTACAGTAAAATTAAGTTCGTGGAAACTCATCTCCATTTGAAATTTTGTATCTCTAAGTCGTACTCCGACAACAAAATATAGGAGTCAACGGAATATTGATAGCTTAATTGCACTTAAATACCCTATAGCTTCCCTTACTGTGCACTTACATATCTTTACTTGTTTCCTGTAACATTAATAAGTTGTATCTTTGTTTTGGTATATATTATTAACATAATTTATGATAACATGCATATTTTTCCTACAATTTTGAGACATGTATAATGTGAATTTTATGTTTTATAACCTTTAATAAGAATTTTAGTAGTAAAATATGTTACCTTCATATTTAAAGATATTAAAATCTGACAATGCTATTATGTGCTTATCTTTGATCGTTCTTTAAAAAGATAAGCACCGTTAAAGATAAGCACATAATAGCACTGTTAGATTTACTAATTATCATGTGTATACCTTTTGTTCATTATAATGATTTCCCTCATCTTATCAGGCTTATTATATCTCGCAACATAGTTAATCAATGACTTCACTTTAGTTTATATTGTAAGATTATTTATATGTAATTTTATATTAAGTTTATGATTCCTTTAGTATTTTAAGAATAAAGTATAAAAATTTATATGTACATACTAATTTTTCTTATATCTTTCACGGAGAAGGTTTTTTTAATTGGGATGAAATTGTTTAATATGTTCTTCAAGGAGAACTCATCAGTGCTCTTTGCTAGATATATATTTTGTCAATGTCAGTTCAAGTGATGCATGAATGTTTTCGAATTTTGGGTTTATTTACTTCACTTCTCTATTTGAAATAAAAACAACTTGATTTTTTTAAGGATATCTTTAAACTTTCTGATAGTTTCTCTATATAAAATTCCTTGTATTTTTTCACTCTATAAATATTATTAACATCAAAGATGAATGTTTATACATTATAATCAATTAATGCTTACTTATTATATTATAGTCTTTTGTTAGATTTATGTAATTTTGTCTTCTATTAATTAATATTATTACTAAAATTACATGTAGTTCCTTAAATTTATATAGTAACGTTAAATTTTAATCTTTCATATATTTTTAATTTTTTATTCTTTAATTGGATAGTTTTAATTTATTGTAATTATTATTTTTTACCAGTATCAACTTAGTTTACTTTTAGATGCTGAAAATGGATGCTAAAATTTAAATTGAAACTTAAATTTATATATTTTAATGAAAGAATATAAAATATTTATTATTTTCTTTGCCAAATTTCAGCCTTTGTGATTTTGAACTTCTAAGGGTGTGTTTTTTAGTTTTTAAACTTTAATTGTATTTTAAAAAATAATATTATGTTGGGTGATTGTAATTTTTATGTTTTATGAGTTGCTGGTAAGTTTTCAAATGTTACGATGTTTCTTTCAACTTTGAAATTTTGAGCGTGTTTTTTTACAATTACTAAAACTTAGAGTTGTTTTTTTTGACAAATTTAAATTTTTAGCGATCTGGTGATAATTTTCAGATTTGATATCTACCGATTATAAGTTTTGAAATTTTAGGATTTTTGTGATTTTTAACTTTTGAGGGAGTTTTTGTAATTTATGTAACTTTGAGGTTATTTTTTATAAATTTTAAAATTTTCAAGTGCTTAATGATAATACATAGAATTTGTTTTTGTTGTTTGCAATTTTTTAAATTTCTGAATTTATGGTGTTTTTTTTTCTAATTTGAACTCTTGAGGTTGTTTCTGTAATTTTAGAAATATTGAGAGTGTTAATTACAAATTTAAATTCATTGGGGGTTGTTTTTTATTCTTAGATTTCATGTTTGTTGTTTTAAGTTTAGAAAATTTAGGGTATTTTGGGTAATTTTGAACTTTTAAAGATATTTTGTATAATTTTTTAATTAAATATTAATCTTATTTTTTTAAATTGCTGAGCTATAGGTAGTTCATGTGGGGTTAATATAGGATATAATTAGTAATTAGATAGATTAAGATTTAAATAAAAATTTAAAATAATATTTCACATAGTTTGTTAATTTTTTTTTAATTGTTGAGCTATAGATAGTTCCCGTTGTATTAGATAAGATATATTTAGAATTAGAATAGATTAAGATTTAAATAAAATATTCAAAATAGTGAAGGATAATATTAACCATAGAAAGATTTTTTTAAACTCGTGCTTTTAAGGAAAATATGAAGTATATGATATGAAATATGATGATATGATATTAATATGATATATAATATACTTGTATCGAGATGCTTATCATATTAACATCTAAATAATTTGATATTAATTGTAATCTTATTTGATCGGATAACAATCTTTATCACTTCACAGTAAAATTAGGTTCGTGAAAAACTCATCTCCATTAGAAATTTTGGATCTCTAAGTCGTACTCCGACAACAAAGTATAGGAGTCAACGAAATATTGATAGCTTAATTGCACTTAAATATAGCTTCCCTTACTTTGCACTTATATATCTTTACTTGTTTCTTTTAACATTTATATACCCTAAAGACTTTAAAACTTGTCATTTATATACACTCACTTGTTTAGGCAGCACTTATATACTCTAAAGTTTTTAAACCTTTCACTTAAACATCATTAGTTATTTAAACCTGAGGGTATTTAAGTGCGAGTTTTAAAAACTTTAGAATATATAAGCTAATACTACCATAAACAAAATGAGAATACATGTAAAACCTTATGATATAAGCAAGTGACATCATAAACAAGTGAGGGTATATAAGTGCAACAAAGTTGGAAACTATATGGTATTTAAGTGCAATTTATCCAACATTAATCGAAAATTCTTATGTCCATTTGTAAAATTGAATCCCTAGTCATTAGGAGTCAACAAGAAAATACTCCGTTGCAGGCTTGCAGCACAAAATCAGGCGTCATTGACTATGTGACGAAATAATTCCACTTCTGTAAAGTCCAAACGTTTTTATGGAAATACCCAATAATTGTCAACAAACCCAGCTACATTCTGATTAATTACAGAAACGCCCCCGGTTCCCGCGGCCGTGCCGATTTCCTCCCAGTTTCCTTCCCCTTTCCCAAAATATTTACCCTCCTCCTATAAAAACCCAAGAAAGAAAGCAATAAAGAAATCACTTTTTTTTTAACGAGGGTTAAAAAATTGTGAGAGCGATGGGTTCGTGCTTTTCTGACGTGGCGGGAGGCAAGCAGGCCGCCGTCAACGGGTTTGAACGACGCGGTTCTTCACTTTCTCAACAACAGAGGATTCGGCGGCGGTCTCTGCAGCTCTTTAGAGGTTTTATTAATTAATTAATTTAAAAACCCTAGTTTCTTGACTCTGGTCACCGCCCTTTAAAAGCCTAACTTTTTTTTTTTTCATTCGACGACGAGTATTCTATTGTGAAATTGAATTGGGATTCGGTCCGTTGTTTGTTTGTCGCAGATATTTTTATTTAATACCGTTTGGAACCCCAATTAGTTTCAAACGACGAGTACTCCCTAGTATGAAATTGATTTGGGATTCGATCCATCGTTTGCTTGCTGCAGAAAAATTTTTAATTTTAATTTAGGCCTATTTGCACTTTAATATATGCTAAAATTAGATAATTTGATACCCCCAAAGTCGCCTAGTGTGAATTGAATTGATTGTACTTTGAATCGATTTGGGATCCTGTCTCTGTTTTGTTGCCGCAATGTTCTTTGTGGTCTTATTTGCAATTTTGGACCCATAGGTTCACCCGATGAAATTCTATATTGACAATTTATAGGCCAAAGTTTTCAAATTGATGATAAGTAGATAGTTTGATACCGAAAGCCAAGGTCCAAGGAAATTGTTTCTCATCCACTTTTCGCTATGTTGACTTCTTGAAAAAAAAGTTAAATTGCCAAATCGAACTTTAGAGTATCAAAGTTAACAAAGGGTGAAACTGGGGCGCTAAAGTGCAAATAACCATTTACTTTACGGTATTTCCATTGATTAGTAGCGATGAGTGGGCCTGTAGAAAATTTCGAGTTTCAGTTCTGCAGTAAGTAGTCACTCATGTGGTTGATTTATACTATTACATCTGACTGATGTTCTGTATGTTTGTTTTTAGTTGTCAGTGTCGGCCTCAAAGCTTCTTGACAGGGACGTACTCTCAAAGGTATGATTTGTCTTGCAATCGCATAGAATTATATGAGCAATATTATCATATATTAAAATTTTGGTGTTTGTTTATGTTGCAGCTTTTTTGACGTTGATATCTGATAACTTTGTATATGGAAAAGACAATGCTTTCAACTAGAAAACAAAGGATTGGGCTAATTTTTTTAGGGTTTGCTGCACAAATTTTTCTTCTATTATGACATGGTGTACATATTGGGACAAAGGAATTTAATATATCAGACGATCAAAAACCTTAATGCATGTTATACCTACGTAGGAAGAAAAAGGTGGGGTTGGGAGTGGGGGTGTGAGGTGGTAATTCTAAACTATTTTCTCTTAGGAGCACTTTTATACTAGTCGCAGAAATAATTTGCTTTCATACTGCAGTAATTTTTTTGTTAAATTTACTGACAAAAAGGATTAATGCCTTTGTATGTAGTTGCTTGGTGTAAATTTAATCTTTAGCATGCAATGCAGAGAAAACCTTAAATTAAATAAAGTAGTATCCACATTGCTGCTCACCACTATTAGAACTATGTTGCATGGATACATGTCCGGATGCAGACACAGACACGATTGTCGATACGGGGCACAACAAAATAGTAAAAGTTAGAATATGTGAACATGACTATGTATATACATATTAGAATTAATAATATATATGAGATCAATATTGGTTTTCATTCACGTGTTATGAGAACTAAAATCCTTATACCATTATTATATTTTCTTTTATCGAGTAGATTATAAATTGAAAAACCACTCATATTTGAAGTAGATACCCAAACTATCATTTAAAATCATACTTATGAACTAAGTATGTGCTAAAACTAATCTGTCTTGAGTTTGATGAGTTACATAAATTTGAGGTAAAAGTGTACAATATACGTTCCAGAAGTGTATCATGATTTTTTGAACTAAAACGTGTTATATAATAGTACACGTCTGAATACATGTATGTATATATCCAAAAAGTGTCCAAGGAGTGTCAGACATAGACTCAAACATAGATACAGATATGGCACCCTAAATGAAGTGTTCGGGTAACCTAGATTTAGAACAACATTCTTGATTGATACATACAACATTAGTGTTCTTTACTCATCCCTATCCAGTTTGGCTACTTTGGAACAAATGTATTTGTTGTGTAATCTCTTGAATTTTTGCGGCGACAGGATGATTCTATCAAGTGCATACTATAGACTCGTTGCCAACATTAGTATTGCATGTTATTAAATTTACGTGAAAGATATGATCTTTATTATTATGACACGAGTAGGCCAATAACCATATGTTAGGATATCGATCGGAAAGAATTCTCTCTTATATATCTCTTTTGTCTCGTGTAATGTTCCTTAACATCTTGTTTTATTTTGATGTAGAGTGATCCAATGGCAGTTTTATATGTTAAGAACCGAAGGGGAATAGAAGAAGAAATTGGAAGAACTGAAGTAATAATGAACTCCTTAAATCCTGTTTGGGTCACGAAATTCAATGTCATCTATCAATTTGAGACAGTCCAGAACCTGGTGTAAGCTTCTGAAATCTTCAAAGTCATGTCATATATTTGTGATTTTATCAGTAATTTGATGATCCTTGATTGGTCTTTTGCTTCATATTTCACATTTCAGGTTTCGGATATATGATATCGACAGTAAATACCACAATACTCCAGTTAAGGTACCTTAAAGTAACCATTTTCCTCCTTGGGATAACTTTGACTTGGAGATAATGATATAGGTTATTGGTTCAATTAATTCATCAATGTCCATTTATTTATGTTGTTCTATAACTTCTAATGTGTTTGCAGACTTTAATTTTCTGCTTCAATGAAGAAATATGTTACTTCATCTAGAATTAGCCTCTGATTATTGGGGAAAAGATGCATTTTATTAGAGTAAATTTATTTGTTAGTTTTAGTTCCAATTTCTGGATATATTTGTGGTCAGTTTACTAGGTTTCAATAATAGATAGGGAATGATGGGTATGAGGTGGCGGCTCATTTTGCAAAATGAGCTATCAAGAGATAGTGGTGAGGTCCACACCTTTTGATGTGACTAGCAAGGTGGGCCTCACCACATGACTATCTCTTGGTAGCTCATTTTGTAAAATGAGCCGCCACCTCGTACCCATTATTTTGTAATAAATAATGTATTAAACTTTACCTGATTGTAGAACTAGATTGTTGTTTAAAATTATAGATCTTTTGACAGTTCCATTAGCTGAACTAGTCTGTGATAGCGCTTCAAATTATTCGTTTGTTATTTGCCAACTGCCCATATGTTTTTTTGTCTTTCTCGAGTCTTAACACTCAATTTCAGTATGAGCAGCCATAAAATTCTCAATACTCTTCCTCTCTAATTGCTGCAACCATCTCCCTTATATTGATTTGTGAATAGTCCACGAAACTACGGGAATTCAGTCACTGTTTAAGCTTAATTTACTTAACTATATGCTTGACCAATTGGTTAAATAAACTTTCATCTGTTTGGTACTTTGGCCTGCATACGTTTACTCTTTTGCGGTGTTTTCAAAGGCGCGCCCCTCATGCACCCTACAATGCGGGGCAGCGACGAAGCGCCCCGCATCTGAGTTGCGCCTCACTAGTGTCCTGCAGGAGGGATCTTCGTACAGCGCACACATAAGGCATAGCCTCATATATTTTTGTTCTTTAATATTTCAATGGGGTCTTTATACCCGGTGACTTATATTCCGAAAAGAAAAATAAACCCATTAGGACATTTTAGTAGCCTGATTGAGGATTCTAACTTGTCCTCATTTATAATTTGATTATTCTTCGATATTAGTCTTGATTTGACTCTTGATTTGAAAGAGTATGAACTTTACTAATATGTCGAATGTGTTAGCATTATGAATTAATACCTTGTGATTTGGTAGTAAATATTATTTATCATACCATATTTTTTATGTGAAAATTCATAAACTTGTTCTTTCATGCTTGATTATGTACCTTAAAAAATTATGTGTAGTGTGCGCCAAGCTTTACTCGGACACATGCATCGCATTGCGCTTTGCGCATGTGCGCATAAAGGGACTTTGCGCCCCGCATCGCGCACATTGAGAACACTGCTTTTATGAGCGCTCAAACATCTTTGTTTTGCAACAAGGTTGCGGCTTGTATGATTAAGAACTCTATCTGGTCTAATGTAGTATAAGAATTTAGCAATGTGCAGGATCTGTCCATTTTTAATTTGCAGAATCCTGAAAATTAGATGGGGGTGTTGTTTTTTTAGAGGTCTACAGAAACTTTGCAGCCATTCATCTTTAGATTCGCATTAAAAGAAAACATTTTCTTCATAAATTTGACTCTGTTACATATTCACTCATACAAAAAAAAGAAGAAAGAAAGAAAGAGCAAGTGCACTCATCAGAAAAAAAAATTAAAGTAAAAAAGTGAACCTTAAAAAAAATTAAAGCTTTCAATCTCAAACCTTACCCTAATCTGAACCCTAACACATCCCTAATAGAGGCATCCAGTCTGAGGAAATTATCTTTTTATCCTTGTAATTTGAGTGCAGATATTTTGTTGCAAATGACTAATATAGTACGGACAAGTATTATCCTTTGGAACACTGCCATGAATCTTAGCGCATCTGCCTAATGTTAGATTCCGGTGTCCTTGTGTTACCTGTTTGACTTGTCTGCTATAATATACTGGGTTGGTAATAGGATACCAAAAATTTCTGATCTTGGATAAGTCGTGCAAGGCAACCATTTGTGTTTATTTCGTTTAATTTTTTTACTAATGATGGTGTATCAGTTTTATAATTGAATTCTAGAGCCAACTATCAACTGTTCATTGCAGATGCTGAATTTGAACGAGCAAGATTTTCTTGGGGAGGCTTCTTGTGCTCTATCAGAGGTACATTTCTGCTCATGCAACTTAATTTTGCATGCTTCTCAGTATACTGTGTTTAATCTAGATTTAGTTCTCCTTTTTCTTTTTCTTCTTCTTCTTCTTCATTTTTTTTGGGTGATATGGGAATCGAACCCAAGACCTTGGGAGCCATTTTGGAACCTCTCAACCATCCAGGTCACCCACGGTTCCCCAACCTAGTTCTAGTCCTTTGTTTGCTACTTAATTTCTTAATGCCATTATATACCTTGCCAAACTCAAGGAGATAACTTTCATCTCTGTAATTTCAGATAATAACCAGGCAAAACCAAACCATAACCCTTGGTCTTCAATCAAAACTCAGTTCTTCAAGGTTGCAGTTAGGAACCATAACTATCCGTGCAGAAGAAACAGTTGCTTCAAAGAAAGTTGTGAAGATGACCTTCCGCTGCTCTCAATTGAAAAATGCAGACATATTTTCCAAAAGTGTATGGGTCATTATGGTGCCTTTTTACCTGTTTTCAGTGTGTGTGTGTAGTATCTATACATTGGGTTGAGTTTTTAATTCATATTTGAATGCAGGATCCATTCTTAAGAATCTCAAGAATTGTGGAAACTGGTGGCTGTGTTCCTATATGCAAAACAGAAGTGATCAATGACAATCTGAACCCAGTTTGGAAGCCTGTAACACTTACTACACAACAGTATGGAAGCAAGGCATGTGCTAATTTATGCGTGGCAATTGGTATACCGATTATGAGCCTGCATTAGCTGTAATTACATTTGTTGCATTCTGAACTTTCTTTACGTTGTTTTGTTCCTTGCAGGATACGCCGCTTCTTATAGAGTGTTTTGATTTTGATAACAATGGCAATCACACATTTTTAGGGTATAACGCATGTAGTTCTGTGAAATTTTCTGCTACAAATTTTGTCCAAGCATGTTGAAAAACTGCAATCAAATTAATGATAACATGACTTTTAACAGAAAATTTCAGGGAAGTGTCATGGGCTTTCAAAAACTTAATCAAGAAAGAACCGGTGGAAATCTTTATGTTGAATCTTCTTTTAATCACCAACTTAAAAAGGTGGGTATCGATTTTTCTCTCTGTTCTTGAATATTTATGTTTATCTATAACTTGTTTTTTTTTTGCTGCTTTCTGCTCCTTTTGGTTTCAGACATTGAAGGCTCAATTCTTTGTGGATAACTTTTGTGAAGAAATCCAGTATAGTTTTTTGGATTACATCTCTAGTGGATTTGAGCTCAACTTTATGGTTGCTGTAGATTTTACAGGTCAAAAATTTTCTATTTAGTGTAATTATAATGAGTTCCATATGTATTGCTTTTCCGAAGCACATAATCATCATCTCTTTTTTTTCCCGTGGACTTTTCCCTTCAGCTTCAAATGGGAATCCTCAGTCGCCTCAGTCATTGCATTATATTGATCCACGGGGATGTTTGAATTCCTACCAACAGGTTATTGTTTTCATGCATTTTAAAGAATTTTTGAAATTGCTGTGAGCTTAGGCTATGTCTATAAAACACATGTAACACAATTTAATCTATTTTTTATATATTTTCAAACAGGCTATATCTGGGGTTGGAGAGGTTATACAATTCTACGATTCTGACAAACTCTTCCCAGCATGGGGATTTGGAGGAAAGCTAAATGATGGGTCTGTGTCTCATTGTTTTAACTTGAATGGAAGTCTTGATAGATGTGAGGTAAGTTGGAATCCAGTTTACTGATGTGCTTACTCTAGCAAAATTCTTTTGTAGATTGTTGGACTTCTCCTCTTGATTTATTGATTTTCTTGGTGATGATCATCATGATGTAGCCAGTATATACTTTTGTTATGGCGGTAGATTCTTCTTCTGATTGTCTATAGCTCACGATTACTTGCAGTGATACTTCAAATAAAAAATATAAATGATACAGTTAGGATTTTATGTTATATTTCAAGGAGACGTGCCGGGCTAACACTGTAGGATATGAATGCATCTAGCATGTTCTGCTATTTTGTTTCTTCTTCCTTTAATGTTATGATCAAGAAAAAGGTAAATTAAATATCTAAGTAAAGAGCCTAAATGTCCTTTATCGTTTATAGACACATGGGATAGCAGTTGTATGAAGGGTACAATAATTATCGGGAGGCTGTTACAATAATGAAGGAAAAGGAAAAGGAGGAAAATAAAATGCTGAGTACAATGTAGGATACAAATGCATCTATCATGTTCTGCTGCTTTTTTTCTTCTTCGTTTCTTGGAGTAGTAGTTACGTCAAATGTTATAATATATATCGGGAGAGGGGCCATTAACATCATAAACGAAGGAAAATGAGGAAAATAATATGATGAGTACACCTCATTATGAGATTGGAGATGGGATATTGGATATTCAGCAGTCGACATGGATATAAAGTTCTTGTGCTTCATGTGATATTCATTTGTCAGCGAATAGAGGGCGGAGTGAGGTAACCAACTGTAGAACTTGCTCAAATACGACCCAACAGCACTTCAAATCCACTAACGTTCTTAAGCTCATGATGATTGGGTTTTTGCGCTAATATGAATTTGTGTTGTTGCAATCTAATCATCCAATATTGGATACTCGCTTCATCTCCTCCCGTAACCTACGCCGAAGTATTGATGCTTAGTTTAATGCATCGACAGCCACAAAACCACAACCCAAATAGAAATGGCATGTCTAGACGACATAAGTTAAATATGATAATTTAGGAAGTAACTTGGGTCAAAAAAGGGGTTTATGTTTTTTCGTCTTGTACAATAATGCTGAAAGGGGGACTTTTTCTTTTGTTATCGTATTTGCGAGTTCATTATAATTGATTTTCCAGAACATTATAAGTGATTTAAGAGCAACTTTTTTTCTCTACCAGCAGGTTGTAGGAGTAGAAGGCATAATGGCTGCTTATTCAACGGCCCTGCATACTGTTTCTCTTCATGGACCGACTTTGTTTGGGCCAGTAATCAACCGAGCTGCAAATATTGCAAGTGAATCTTTAAATCACAATCAAAATAAGTACTTCATCTTGCTTATAATTACGGTAAGTAATGAGTATCTCATAAAATATTATTAATTTCCATGTTTATCTTCTTTGTTGCTAATGAACATATCCTTTCCAGGATGGGGTAATTAATGATTTTCGGGAAACTAAAGATGCTTTGGTAAGAGCATCTAGTTTGCCTTTATCAATCCTTATAGTTGGAGTAGGAGGAGCAGATTTTAAAGAAATGCAGGTACTAGTTAGTCATCTACTTATTTGTCCATGTTCACACCTATGACAATTAGCAATAGTTCTGAAAAATCAAAAATTTGGAGTGCTTGCTATCTGAAGCGCTTTGTTATTTAATATTTTTTATATCATTATTTGAAAATTTCTCAGCTACTAACAATGAGAATTATTGGTTTCTGTTGAACATTTGTAATAGATTTTGGATGCCGATAATGGCCAACGACTAGAGAGCTCCTCTGGACAGATAGCTGTGCGTGATATTGTACAATTTGTACCTATGCGAGAATTATGGGGTGAGTGTGTTGATATCAAACCTTTTCACACAATGGTATTATAAGATTTTGTGCGACATGGTAACTGCTCTAACTTGCTCTAACTTGTTAGACAAGCAATGCACCTTACATTAAACCAAGTGATTGCATATTCGGTTGGTCTCTTTAAATTGCTCTTACTTGCTGTTATTTCTCATGGAGAAAATATTCATGGGATTTTTTTAGCCCAGTAACTGCTTATTTCCTTTCAAATAAAACTGTAATATTTGCTAAGATTCCTATCTTTTCTGTGTTATGACAACTATGACTCCATATTCTGGGCCTTGTCGTGTCAAACCTATTATGATAATATAAAAGTTTCAAACAATTACAGCGTCGGCAAGTCCTTTGCTCCAAACTTTGTAGTTTGGCAGTTGACATGAACCCTGTTTCTCTGTTTGTCTCTATTAAGCGGCTGTCTCTTTGTAAAATTGTAATCAGTGAAAGTTTCAAAGAGATAACATAGTTTGGATATTTTGTGAGGTAAAATAATGATGTAATTTCTTGCTCTTAAAAAGATTGATAGTTGTTGCTAAGTGGAGAGAGGAAATTTGTTACCCTTTTTAGCATTGTTCCAGAAAGAAGTATCATATGAAGGCTCTCATAATACTTCAGATTGAATGCTCCTCATATCCTAATATCCAAAATCATGCAAGTTTGTTTTGATTGTAACCCCTGGTGTAGTTCTCCTGTATTAGCGTAGGTTGAGATGGATTTCTGGGTACTTGTTAATTTCCGAAGCATGTCCACTATTTGCAGAGATCTCAATAATGCTAGTTATCCTTGGAAAGAAAATAAATAGTTAATAACGGTTAATATATGAGTAAGGTTAACCAAAACAAACTCTCTCACCAAAGATCTTTGAGATAGAACCTGTAAGTGTTTCAAGTTATAACTGTGTATTTCCCATCACATTTAGTAGCCGGCATCTGAGACTGTCTGCTTGTTTTCAGGAGAAATATCAATTACTCAAGCACTTCTTGAAGAGTTACCTGCACAATTTCTATCCTACATGAAGCTCAGAAACATCAAGCCATTATTCGCGCAGCACGGACTAACTCCATACTAGCTTTCTGCGTACAGAACAACTCCAATCTTAGGCACTTGACAACATCAACGACAACAACAAAGCCTTCATTCAAAATTTCTGGGGTTGGCTATGTGAATCCCCTCCATTCAGTTTCGTCCAAGTCTGTATCTTCAATCTTCTCCACTGAATCGATCATTATCATATCCTTCTTCAACAACTTCTAACCAAGTTCAACCATCTCCATTCTCAAGAACTTTCTTATAGAATTATCAATATCATTTAAGCTTTTGTACATAGCAGAGTAGAATGATGCCTTCTTTTCTTTTCTTTTTTCATGTAAAGCAGTGGTTTTTCCCTTCGGACAAAAAGGAAGCTCTCATGGTTTCTGAAGTGGGATTATATTTCCATTATAAATTTTCTTCAGTCCATTCTCAGAATCTAAGCTTGCAATTTTTTAAATCTTTTCTGTACCTTATAAGGAATTGTTAGTTATACTCATTGACATCATTGCTTGCTTCAAATGTTGCTTAGGATATATTGGGTGAAAGTGAAATAATGAAGTTTGTCAAAACTATATATCATCTTTAAAATTATCTTTATAAAATCCAGGGATTTAGAATCTCCTAGTCTTTGTAAGGTTTGACTTATCTGATTGAAACAGGCAGGGAAGGGTGGAAAAGTTAGGGAAAATCAGGTAGGGACACCTCTGTAGTATTGTTGTCTTAAATTTACTGAACCTTGTCTTTTCTTTTTACGGATATACCTATTGAGTGGATTTTTTTTACTCTTTTACTTGCAGAGAAAAAGAAGCCCATTTTTTTTAAAAAAAAATAGATCCCCAGAGTTTCAAAGAGCAAAAAGTTCGCTTAAAAGATTCTATCCTTAAAAAAAATTAGAATGGTAGTAAGTTCAAGGGTGGCACTACAGGCACACCTCCAACCACACCTTGGGGCACACCCTCTCTCTTAGCTACAGTGCAGGGGGTTCACTTTAGATTTTTTTTAAAATCTAAAGTAGGCCCCGTGTACTGTAGCTGAGAGAGGGGGTGTGCCCCAAAGTGTGGTTGGGGGTGAGCCTGTAGTGTTTTCCTAAGTTCAAAACAAAGATACTATCCCCAATCAACCCTTTGTTTCATCTCCTTTGACTTTCTTCATCCCTTTTCAAGGTTAGACATCACTAAGGGACATCTATATCTTGGGGTTTGTTTCCAAATTTTGTGACTTGAGATTCTGATAAATTCAAAATTTTCAAAATCCTAAAATTTAGAAATTATATGATTTTTGTTTGATTGAAAAGTTGAATGGAGATTCTATATGGGATTCACTTTTCTCTCTTTACAAAATCCGCAAGAGAGGACAAGATTTCTAAATTCCGTCAACTTTAATTGAAAAACCTTTTCCTTTAAACAAACACAAAATTTAACCAGAGTTTGGTTTGAATTCTTGATGTCACCCAAGAAATCTAGCAATCTCTTAGGCCGTGTTTACAATCTATCAAAAATTGGGTGAGGATCAGCCATGACTCATTTTCATCTTAAACTAGTTTTTGTTTGTAGTAGAGAAGAGGTGGTCCAAAATGAAATTGGTTTAATATGTAATTTTTGGCCTACAAAAATTGAGCCAATTTTGACATAGTTTTTTATCAAACAAAAAATACTCAAAATTCGAGCTAAGTTCAGTCCTGACCAAGTCACAAACACATCCTAAAGTTAAGGTAGTTACTAGTTTCCCTATATAGTCAAGTGAAATTAGCTATGCTCAAGGAATTGATGCTATAATCAAGTAATTCTATGTACAGTGTAAAACTAACATTATACAACCGGAATATGCTACGAGTTTCAAAATTGTTCTATAATAATGGAATATACTAGCGCCATTAAAAAACTGCATTATAAAAGAAAAAAAAAATGTAATAGAATCAACTATAAAATTATATATAACAGTGGAATGTCAGAATTATTTTTGTACAGAAGCTAAACATGTTAAAATCATTTAGAACTATCAACGTCAAAGTCATTTGTTGATCATGATGAACAAATGCAAGAATGTATGAACATTTATCAATGCCAGAAACTTTATGTACTAGATGAAACGTAAATTTCTCCTTTTTTTCTGAAGGTCGTCTTTCCATCTTCAATGTAGAAATGAAAGCTATAACTATGGTTATGGCTCAACTAATTTCATGATTTCCAAATGAACCAGCTTTCAAAATTCAATATAAAACTCATTTGTGAAAGTCATTGACCTATAAGCTCTCTACTTTCGAAAATAAATTTTGGCTCGCGGACCAACCGCGAGCTAGCAACTCGCAGAGGGGGTTACAGTGTCTGGTCGCGGTTGAACCGCGAGCCAAAAAGCACAATTGCTCTACTTTCATGGAGTTGGTAAAGCCCTGACAAATAACAGTGTGAAAGTGAAGCAAAGACGTGAAAATCTCAGGAGACCAAATGATCTTATTTAAAAAGTAGCATAATGTTCGATTCTACTACATACAAGTAAATATGATAAGTTACACTTATTTATCCAAAATTATGAGCATGAACCACCAATAAACGTTATGAAACATAGCGCTGTACATAAATCTGCAGCTAAAGGGACTCTGCAAACTGGGGAGCATCCATATCAAGTTCCTGCTTCATAACGCAGTTCATAAACCAGTCACTGCTAAATGTCCATACGCCTTTCTTTGCAGCTACCATAGCATCTTCCATGTCCTCTTCACAAGCCAAAAAGATTGTTTTTGCCGGCTCCTTTATGCCTTCTAGCTTTTGAATAACCTGTGTTTTTCCAATACTTCAAATTAATCACTTCAACTGCGCATAATTGGAACTGCAACTCCACAAACACATTAGGGTTTGAATTTCTTTAGTGTGTGTGTGTATATATGTAGGGTTTGATGGGTATGAGGTGGTGGCTCATTTAGCAAAATGAGCTATAAGAGATAGATTGGTGAAACCCACACCATTTGATGTGATAAAGTGGGCCTCACCACATAGCTATCTCTTAGTAGCTCATTTTACTAAATGAA